CGATGTTAATTGCTTCAGCCAGAAGTTGGGAAGACGGTCGTGCCCGGGGCTCTTCCAGTTCGCTGTTCTTTTGAGTGCCTTCTGCAGATCAGATTTTGTTATCTGGAGGTCACTCATTTCGGGAGTATCTGTTAGCTCCCTCTGACGTCGGAGCCATGTGGCGTCGACGTTGTGGCTCGCCGGGCGTTCCATGATGTTCGACCAGAATTCTTCCACTTCCGCCTTACCAGGGATCTTCTTCACTTCTATGGGTTTCGCTCCCAGTTCCCGGTAGAATAGCTTCTGGTTGTTCATGAAGCGCTCGTTATGCCGGAAGTAATTGACCTTTTTCGTGTACCGCCTTATCCTCAGGGCCCAAGCTTGGATCTTCATCTTCACGTTCTCTATGGCGGTCGGGAGATCGGCATCGGAGGTGATCTTGTACTTGGGGCACAGCCGCTTGTAGGTCAGTTTCACTTTCCGGGACGTGTTTCCCTTCTTGATCTCTTGAAGGGTACTAGAGACTACTAGTCTCTAGTACCCTTCTCTAGTACCCTTCTCTAGTACCCTAGCATATATATATATATATATATATATATATATATATATATATATGCACTGGACCAGCGAACTCTATTCTATAATCCGTAGCATTCCAATAACCGAAACAATCGTTCGGTACTTCTTCGTACTTCAGGCAACTTTTAAAACCCATGTACTGTAGTACGGTACCCGTATCGGCACATTCACCACTTCTAAGAATACCCACCACTATTTTTGTACCTTGTTTTTGCTGATCTCGGAAACCTGCAGTCGAGAGATCGAAAACTGCCGAACCAGTTCAACTCGCGTATTCTCTTCGTCCTTTACGGGGATCCGAAACTGCGATCTCTTCGGCAGAGCAAAGCTCTTTCCTTTTCCGCATGGTCGACTCGAATGTGCAGATCTCATGCCTTTAGGCTTGGTTTATTGTCGTGGTATACCTGCTTTCCCTTTCGACCGAAAAGGAAAGGCTTATTAACCCCCTTTTTCCGCATTTGCAGCCTATACGCGTACTTACCCCCCAATTTCTAGGAAAGGGTGTGCTTGCCTCCCCTCCTGCCCCCCTAGCCCCACCTGCCCCACCTGCCCCTCCTGCCCCACCTGCCCCTCCTGCCCCACCTGCCCCTCCTGCCCCACCTGCCCCTCCTGCCCCTCCTGCCCCCGCCCTCGGTTCACGGAAGAGTCGAGAGGGGCTTTCCGGGAACGCGAATGGGGAAAATGAGCATTTCGTTGGACGGTGAACTGAAAGAAATGATACCGTGTTTCGGGAAAGTTTATTCCTTCCTTTGAGCGAGTTACTTTAATAACCGTATTCCTTTATGCGATGTTTTTCATGATGTACCTCATGGTCGAAAAATCGGGACCGTAAAATGGCATTCCATGAAGCGGCATTCGATCATACGGAGTCGACTGGAGTTGGGATCCGTTTCTCACAGAAAAGGAGAATCTGTCCAACGTCATCACCTCGTTACCTTCGTCTCCAACGTTCACCTTCGCAACTGCGATTATATTATATTAGCATCGGGTGCATGGAAGATGCAAGGCCTTTTTTCACCATGAGTTGGCCGATTGACGATTAACTCAAGGTAACTTCACGAGATATTCCTCTCGTCGTACTCTCTCAGACGCGCAAGATTTGAACATCGCAAAGAAACGTCTCAGCTAAGTAAACGATGAAAAGCGAAAGGTAAGATGACCGCTGGTGGAAAATGCGACTCGTAACAAAGTAGTCTCAGAAACTGGTAAGTTTTCGTGAAATTTCAGGCCGTTTTCGATTCCCGCTCGTGTTCCGCGATCTTGCGACTCACGTGCCTCGACTCGTAAGTCGATCTGACGACTCGTAAGCCGATCTGACGGTTGAAGGACAGGGGGTCTCGATCGAATGCCGACTGGCATATCGGCTCCCATATCGACGATAAAAATAAGAAGAAAACTCTAATTCCTTATTGGGATGGAAATCTTCCCTCTCGCTCGCTCCTGTTTCGCTCATCTGGTTTCAGGCTCGAATGACTTCGCGGAGACTCGGTCTTCTTTCTATGCTTGATTGCTCGTGCCCTTCTACATATCCCATTTCAGCTTCTGAAAGCTGATCGACTGCTTAACTTTACCCCACGGGTAAAGTTAAGCTTAACTTTACCTGGGCCTTTTTTTCCACGGGGAAGTTAACATTTCATCGTGCCTGTGAAGAGCAGAAAGGAATTCAGAGTTAAATTCGATTAACTAAGCGTAATTTTTTTAAATGCATGAATGAAATGAATGACGTCCCGAAAATAACCAAGGTCGCCTACAAGAATCATCGCAGAGAAAAAGAAAACGAATCAAAACGAGGGAAAAACTTTTTAAAAGCGAGAAGGAAAACCGGTCCGGCCAGACTTCTCGAGACGAAAGGAAGACGAAAGGAAGACGAAAGGAAGACGAGAGGAAGACGAAGGGCTTCCGAGCATCCGTGCGTGAAGCAGAGCCAAGGGACGGGAAATCGGCGGGGGTGGAATCGCCCTTTAAGGAGGATCGAAGGACCCGGGAAATCACGCGAGTCTCGCGAGCATTCTGGAGGACGAAGGGCGAGCGAGCATCCTAAGCGTCCTGGGATCTCTCGAGAGGGGGAAGGCGAAGGGGACGGGGTGAGTTCGGGAGTCTCGGCACGGCTGAGGGGGGGGGGGGGGGGGGGGGGGGGGAGAGAAGCGTTCTCGTCTTCCCGATTCCCTCCGATTTTACGATTGCATGATGGATTCGAGGAATCCCGTCCTGGTCTCCGTTCCTCTATAGAGAATACTAACAGATCTAAGGTAGGGAGATTAATTGGATGAATGGTTGTCGGGAAGCAAAGCGAGAGAGGGGGAGAGAGATTGTGAATGAAAGGAGCGTTTCCCGAAATTGGAGTCTTGAATGGAGTCTCCTGGGGTTGAGTCAAACGATCTATTTTTTCCTTCGTTTTACATGGAAAATCTAGATGGAAGCCTCCGAGTGAAAACAGCCGACGGCGTGAAAATAAACTCGGCCGCCTTCGAGGGAGGAAAAGTCTGAAGTCGTACTCGACGTTCCAGGCCGGAGGGGAAAGAAAAAAGGCTAACGAATTTCAAGAGAAAATGAGAAGTTCTCAGCGACCATAATGAAGAGATTTTTGGAAGATTGGGGAGAACCGACGAGAGATTAAGGGATCATCACGGACGGAATCCTCCGAGCCATTTCGTCTTCACTTCTCTTCCGATCGCCTGAAAAGTTCCGAAAGCCGAGGGAGCGGAACACCGAATCTTTCCTTTGGGTTTTCCACCCGAGCATTGTCCCCATTTCTGCATTTTTATTTATTTATTTATTTATTAATCCACTGGAAACGTAGAAAATGGGTCCGCAAGTGGGAGAAGTCGAAGGCGTGGGCCAAAAACGCACTCACGAGAATTCCATCGTGTAAGTGCTGCTCGGAACGGAACGAGGAACAAATTGAGTTGATCGATCGAATGAGTGGACACGCTTCCAAGAACAATTTTAAAAAAGAAAACCAGAGGTAAAAAAGAAAATGAATCTAGACAATTGGAACCGAGAAATATTGGACTCTGCGGACTCGCCCGTTGCATAGCGATTTGCTTTCACTTTTACTTTTTTTGCCCTTTTTTTTAAGAAATAAATTTCTGAACGCGAGAAATTTTCATTTCTCGTCGGATTTGCACGGTTGAGATGTTTCGGATGTCAGATTTTCCGATTTTCCGCCTTCCCCGTGGACGAAAATTGGAATTAAAAAAAAAAGTCCGGATGTCCTCTCGCGACTGCGACTAATCTCCGTCGCGAAAATCTGGATCCGTCGCGGCGTTCACCGTTTCCGTCGCGGCGTTCAGTGATCGCGCCCCGATTTTCGCGTCTCGTCGTGTCGAATTCTCGCGAATCGAACATGAAAGACAAATTTAGCGAAGACCAATAAATGCACTGAAGTCCGACTAGAAGCGGAATCTTACTTAGGCCCAGTACCTAGTACTAAGCACGAAGTACGAGTACCGATCCATACGAACCCCATTCCTGCAAATTCGCACAGAGATGACGAATGCCGAGAGCAAAAGCAGGAAAATGATCAACTTTGCTGCTATTACCATCGATCGACGACGATGACCTTGACGATCGGACACGACACCGGGATGCTTTTCTACATACCCCCTTGCAGATAAAACCACTGGAGCAAAGCAGCCAATGACAGCTCGGAATCAATGTGCGTCACCGCCGCGCAGCATGGCGCAAAGCCTGCACCAAAACTCCCTCCAGCCTAAAAGACCTCCCCCATGCCGTCATCTCCATGAGAACCTTCTCTTCTGGAGCTTCGCATCGTGCGTCCTTGTATACGCCAAAATGGGAAATTAATTTGCATTTCAATTCCATGGTGAACACTTTCGGATGCTACGATTTCATAGGCTGACCGGTCTGAAGTTAATGCCAACTTAAGTGAAACCGGCGAAGTAAGAATGCATGCAGAGCCACTTCATCAGGCAATGCCGATTAAACAAAGTGCATAATGAGAAAATAAAGATACAATCCATTTCATTGGCTTTTCCCGATGCCGACGTTATATATCAACGATGGCGAAAATAAAGTCAAGCGGAAAAATAGCTCGTTACTGTGCACAGGATGAACTAATACATTTGCATAATTAAGGATCAAATATTGCAGCGCTCAAACGATGGTAAATTGAAAATGTATACCTACCACCTATTCACAGCAAGCTAGAAGGGGTCATGAGGACTTCAGAAAACGTTTATACCCTGCACCTCTCCTAAAGAATCTACACATGTTCTACCAAGATTCTCTGCTTGCATTATTCAGCTCTGTGAAAAGGATTGAAAGAAATAAAGAAAATATCAACAATGAGAAGAAAAAGAGAGTGCCTTTTATTGTGAATGTTCCAAGAAGTGAAAAGCAGTCCAATAAGAATCAATACACTCAAAATATTAGAGCACATGTTTTGGCACCAACAGAAGTTCTGACAATTTCTTTCATCAGTCATGTGATAAAACATTTAAATAATAGGTGTCATTTGCTTAAACATCATTACAGATGCTTCTTGTTTCAGCCATCTCCAAGTCCATTGTAGGATTACCCAATAATTGCCTTGGTTGAGTTTGTGAGATTTCTGTCACAAGCTGAATAAATATTGCATCAGAATGCTTCAATGTGCACCCCAGGAAAACAAACCAGTACAAGTAAAGGGATGCACTAAGTAAGAAAAGCACTTTAAAAACAAAGCATAATAATGTCAGGAACAATTTCATAGAGAATCTCATAGTGGTGCCATATTACATGTTCAAACCGAACTATGGCTGCTAGGAAATGTAAATGAAATTCATATCATATTTGCAAGGAAGCAAGAACCAACCTCTAAGAAAAGAGAGTTGCAAATAAGACATGCAGCAGAAGAAATGCATGCAGCCTTCAAGCATGTTAACACATTCACCTACATGAATTTTTATTATTTATTATTAAGAAGGAATGGCATTAATGCAGGTTGGTGCCTTGTAACACTGTATTAACACAATACATGCCTGGTGTAACACTTGAGATTGAAGAGAGAATACCTGCAAATACTTCTCAAATAAGTGGCAAGTATTCATTGAAGACCCCAAGGATAAAACTTTTCCTGCAACAGAGGATGATATCCTTTTGAATTTCTAATGGTAGTCTCTGCTAATTGCGGCATATCCATGTATGAGTAACTTATTAAAGGAAAGCACCCATTGTTCTTGCATCCTCCAAACTTCCAGACCACATGATTGCTCCATGAGTGTGCATAAAGGTCCTGTCACTCCCCTTTGCCTATACCATGTCGACCTTCACATAGCCACTGCCAAGTTGCCTGTAGAAACCATTTAGGGAAGAGCAAACTGCATCAAGGTGCAGTGGGAGGCGTGAGAACAATGGGTGCTTTCCTTTTGCCGAGGGCTACCCACATGTGGACACAACACAAATAATTTTGCAGAAGCAACAATAAGAATTTTGAAAGACATCATTCTTGGTCGCATGAGAAGTTTTAATCTTGTGGCCTTCATGGAGTACTTCTGTGACACCTTCGAGAAGTATTTGCGGGCCAGGATTCTTTCTGCAGCCTCAAGTGGGAGATCAGACATGTTGCGACAATACAGGTAGAGTGCTAATAAGCACTAGCACTTCTATTTTTCCTCTTTTCAATTTTTTAAAAGCCATATGGATTAATGAGCAAATATTTTGATGCAACTTTTTAATGGCTTGCAGCTGATTTCAGGGAAACATAAGATACCTATATTTTCTCATCACTTTGCCATTCCTTTCATGGGATTCTTCAAACTGAATGAAGCTCTAAAGTGTACTTTTAGCACTGTTTCATCTACGCTAAAAATTTGAAACACATTTTCATTATAGGCATTTCAATATGACTTCAGGATGGAGAGGGAAAAATGAACATTTTCATTTTTACATCTTGAAATCTACTTCCAAGAGGTATCAAATATATTTGGGGGTTGCACAATAGAACCAAGAATAGAACCCAGCTATACTTTCTCATCTTTCATCTCAGGGCTATCTTGTCAAGATCATGTGACATCAAAAGTATCTCCCAAGAAAATGGCACAAAATTCACTGTTGGAGAGTATGAGGTTGATCCAGTGCATGGGTTTTGTGACTGCTACATGGGACTTACTGGTGCTTGCTGCAAGCATCAAGTTGCTGTAGCAGAGCAACATAGCTTCATTCTGCCAAATGTTCCTATCCCCAATAGTCCCAGTGACAAGTTGGCACTTGCATACCTGGCTTTGGGACATGAGGCTCCAAAAGTGTTCTTCTTTGACACAATGGTTCCCACAGGTAATGTGACATCATTATGGGCTGCACTTTGAACCTTATTTATTTATTTATAGAAATCTTTCCCTACATTTATTGTTTTGCTTGACAATGTTTCATTTTTTTTTAAAGAAATAGTTTGGCTATCAATTGTGTACATTGTAGCACCCTGATCTACTCATTTTTTTCTACTCAGCCATTGATACCAGACACCCCAAGGTGTCAACCTCTGTATCCACTGCCCTCTGTATTTTGGGTGAACCTGCAATGGAATCTCAGACAGTCCTCGAGACAGTGGTTGAACCTGCAAAAGACATGAAGATAGCTGAAGCTAGAAGCAGCTCCAATAAGGATTCAGCAGAAGGTATATATTGTAATTTAAAACCTAAAATGTGACTTGACTTAAATAAATAGCAGTATTGCCCATCCAGTCCCAGGAGGGGCCACTTCTAATCCACAAAGACCAGCAAAATTCTCATTTGTCATACTTGTGGCCTTCTTCCTCTTCTGCACCCAAAAAACCAGGTTTGCCAGAAAAAGGAAGATAGGGGGTTTCAGGTTTGAGAGCTTTTGACAGGATATAAGAGATGTCTCTCCATTAAGCACTCATGCCATCTGGTCATTTCTGGACCTGGATGAACCTATGATCAGAGCCTAAACATGCACTGTAACACCTTGGCATATATTGGTTTCCATGAATATCACCTTTTCTCTGCAAGCCACTTCCACAATATATGGCTTGTTGCTATTGAAGTCTCTACTTAATGCTCAAGCTTCCTTATTCCTTTGAATCGTTTTCTTTTCTCAGGGCTAGATCATGCAAGCAAAAAAATCCCTACAGAACATGTGTGGTTTCTTTGAAAACCTAAAACAAGATATTAGAGCCATCCAGAGTCCACATGATCCCTTGCTGCTGGCTGTGAAGAGACTTGAGAAGACTCTATCTACTCAAGTTGACAAGTTATACTTCATTCTTGGTGAGTTTTCAGCATATATGGTGTATTTGCACCATTAGCCTATTGTTGCCAGACATTAGCCTCTGAAGAGGCAAACAGAAACTAGGCATTTCTGCTTTGCTTTCTCTGGGATGCTCAAACTATAGTCAGAGGGGCTGATTTGGATGCCACATAAACAATTTCAATCATGTGCAATGACAATCCTGTCTGCATATTTCATCATACCAAATGAACTAGGTTCAGGATAAAGGCCCGTTCACATTGTCCTTCGGCGAGGCCTCGCCGCAGCTTCGCCGAAGGTGCGGCGTAGGTTCTCGTTCACATTATCCGGCGCTCACTTACGGAGAACCAATGGTAAACGTGAGCAGACGATGAGATTGCACCAATCTCAGTTCGATGCTGG